CCGGGTCCCCTTCCTGGAGCTCCGTGGTGGGGAACCGTCGCATGACGGCCCTGTTTCACCCTCTGAGGACGCGGGTCTCCTCTTCCCCTTGACCCTCGCTGTCACTCGGCTCCTGCAGCCCATCCCTGCAGGTTATATGGCATTATTTGCTCTTGGGCCTTCTCCCTTCCGCTCTGCGCTCCGTTTCCCCCTGCCTTCCTGGACACCTCCCGATTACTTGCTATTATTTACCTTTTTTGTTGTTGTTTTTTAAGCCTATAATTCTTGCCTGGACCATAGAGAAAGGTCTGGGGAGGGTGGGGCGTGCCAGAGCTTACGCCTTCTGACAAAAGGGTGAGCCTCTGTAGTGTCATTGGGCTGCAGTGGTTTCCCAGTGCCCCAGGTGTTTTAAGGGGTTTCCTTCCTCCATTCCCTCCCTTGCATAAATGCAATTAATTCATTTAGCAGGGATATCCCGCTGAAAGTAATGTGTCTGTTGTTACAGGAAGGAACCGGCCTTTTCTGGGTATCCCCAGAAAGCGTGGTCACCCTGGCAAGAAGGTGATGAGGGAAAAGTGACATCTTCACCATCCGTAGGGTGACTTTCTTGTCAAATATCCCACCGGCATTAAAACTTTATAAACTATGAAAGATCCTAATTAGCCAAACATGGTGGGATGGTCCTGCACGACTTCTTGTTTTACCTCTGGCCATTTATATTTTGCTGTGAGTTTTCATGGATTTAAAGACTCAAGCCACATTTTAAAGAAGGATTTTTGCTGTTCAGAGCTGTCTTGGCTAAGCCAGGAAGGATATCCAGCCTGCATGGACAGGGCAACATTTGCCTGTTCCACTGCCTTTTTTCGTGACTACAGTAGTTCATCTCAGGGTTCATTCTGCCTCCCCGGAGGACACGTTGACTTTATTGAAAAAGTAGAATCATTCACTTACTCAGACTTCTTCCGGGATTATTTGATTCCCAACCATCCCTGTATTTTCTCAGCTAAATTCACTGAAGACTGGGGCAGCAGAAGAAGTTGGGTGACTTGGGATGGAAAGCCTAACTTTGATTATCTGCTGCAGAAGTTTGGTAAGTCATGGTATTTTTAATACCTAATAAAATCATGCTAAATGACACAGCTGATTTTTAATTTTAGGAATAGAACAGCTAGACAAAACCTGGAAATTCTTCGGACTTTTTTCTAAGTTAATACTTTCATTTTCTACACTTAATCACACTTTATGTTTTGCAGAGTTAAATCTCAAATTTATTCGCACAATGAAATAAAGTGTTGTATAATTTAAACATACCAATATATACACCTGCTTAACATTAATCAGAGGAGCAGCCTGATACTTTCCTCAGACAAGGGGAAAATAATTCTGCAGTCACAGTGAAATATCTCTTCAAGCAGTAAAATATTAGTATATTTAATAGGAGTAAATACCTCAATCCCAATGTAGTTTAAGAGGAAAATTCAGGTCACATTAAGTAACTTCTGGTGTGAATCATGTTTGCCTAGAATGAGGGTGTTGGGAGTGAGGGATAAGCTTTATGTATTTGTACTGTACTTAGCATTACATTACAGGGCCCGGAAATTAGAGGCCTCTGCAGTTGATAAGGTTAAGGAAGCTCAGTTTTAGCATCATAGAAACTGTCCACCTGGGCTGAAGTAGTTTATATTTCAGGAGAGGCTGTAGTACCTGTTGCCAACTGTGATGTCAAGGAGTACAATTCTAACCCGAAGGAGCAGCTCCCCTTCAAGGAGTATATCAAGTACTGGAAAGAGTACATTAAAAATGACTACTGTTCATCCCGAGGGTGTCTTTATCTAAAGGACTGGCACCTGAGCAGGTAAGAGAGTGCTATGGAAAACCTTGCATGTCACGCACAGCAAAGAGCTGCCACAGAGCCTTCGTGCTCATCTTCCTGTGCCTGAGCTTTTAAATGCCATCAGTGCTGTTTGTTAGAGCCTGCCCGCCAAAGTATCTCCCTTATGTTGCACTGTTCTTGGGGATTTCATGTGATAAAGTCCTTAAACAGGTCATTGTTTCCGGAAGAGGCTGACATTCTTGAGCACTTTCCCTTTCATCTGTGTTTTAAATGACTATGTTATCCCTGTGGAAAACGTGCGGTCGGAGCATTTGGCTTTTGTTTGACTACAGCGCAAACCTTACTTCTTAAAAAGAAGGGGGACATTTCTAACTGTGTTAGAAAAAAAGTTTCAGTGAACATGTGTGAGTTATAATCCTTTATTGTCCGTTTTCTTTTCTGCTAACCTTCCCAGTCATTAAAAGTTCTCTTCCCACTGTTCTGCCTTACTTTGTCTCCAGCCTGCTGCTGTGAGATGGATGCATTGTCTGTTTCTCATGTCTGTGTAGGATTTTTATGTCTTTTCACTCAACTCTTTTCTTCTTTAAACATATCCTGCTCTTAATCCAACATTCTTGTGATGAGCTCTTGTTTTAATTTTTGAGTATGACAGTGACTTAAAATAGAGGAAGTCTGTCAGTCTCTGCCTCCCTGTTCATCTGCTTTCCCGAACACTGGTTTCATGGCTTACTACAGAAAACCTGGACATGCAGCCTAGGATTGGAAAGGGGCAGCATATCCTATGCGAGAAGGCTGCAAAATTGTCAAAAATGCCACAGCCTGGCTTCCCTCCTGACTTTCACACCCCTAGCCTGTCAACCAGTTGGACAACCAGTCTTGCAGGCATCTCATCTGCAAATAGTGTGTTTATTAGAAACTATCTTTGCATTAACTAGGAGTCTCCCAAATAGCAGCTAAGCTTCACAGCTTTCCTGAGAAACAGAAAAGCACCTTTGCATGAGTTTTACACACAACCTGGGAGTTGTCATAGCATCATAGAATGGTTTGGGTTGGAAGGGACCTTAGAGCTCATCTAGTTCCAACCCCTGCCACGGGCAGGGACACCTGCTGCTAGACCAGGTTGCTCCAAGCCCCATCCAATCTGGCCTTGCA